TACATATATATATATATTTAAAAAGATGTTTACAAAAACCCGAGTTACGAGGCTAGAGTTGCTATCCCACGAAATGTGACAAAGCGTAAGCCATAGGATAAGATCTAACGAATTTTATAAACACAATAAAGGAACTGGAACGCCAAAGTAATTACATGTACATGTATATCCATCTTCGACAGGATTGAACCAAGTAAGCCGAGAATACCGGGTACTGGTTTGAATTTATTGTGTGATGATAATGTAAACCTCAAAAAGTCATTGATGGACTAAATCAAATCATATCACAATGTTTCCCATTGCTGACAGATATGAAATTTATCCTATTATTAAGAATAAAAATTTCACCTTTCAAGCGGTTGGGCCATGTCGGATAAAGAGGAACACTAATAATGCTGTCGATTTCTAAAGAATTAATCATTTTTCATTGTAATGTTAATGCAATCATGTAGTGACATTAGCCAGAAGGAGCGTAGGTCTTGTCTCCGAAAACTGGAACGTGTGACACACAGTCACGCACAATCGTACACACAAACATTCACGCTCCCAATCTCACCAACTGATGGGAAAAGAATAAGATAAACTGATAAACTTAGCGACAGAAAAGGAAGGAAACTCTGGTAGAATGGCTAGTAGAATGGCTGTTATTGTTGTTTTCGTTGGTGATGATGACGGTGGTGCTGGTGGTGGTGGTGCTGGTGGTGGTGATGGTGATGATGATGATGATGATGATGATGATGATGATGATGATGATGATGATGATGATGATGATGATGATGCCACCCTCAAAGTAACTTTGGCCACGCCTTTCCTTTTGTCGGCTCTTACCTTCACACACTTTGGTAATGGGGTTCTGGGTCTGCCCCTCTTTACACTGACACCTGTACGAGCCCAAGGTGTTGACGCACTCACCACCCACACACAGGCCTGGGATGGCGTGACACTCGTTCACATCTGGGGAGAAAAGAAAGTTAAGTGGGCACGGCTGTGTATGATCTCGAGATACTGTGCGGTCAACACCCCCTTTAAAGACGGAATGTGAAATACATTTGGGCGATTTTATGACATGAGGCTGACAAATAATTCCCATTTCTGAAATTGCAGAGCGAAAATAGTCTAGAGCAATAAAATCCCACCGACAAACCGTTTGCTGGTTCAATGTTCCCGTAACTCTCCTTTGGTATGTTGGACTTCTCTTAACTCTTTGAAGAGTCTGTTACCCTGAACTGTTGAGACACCTGCTAGGTGCAGGTAGAATATTGTAGCTTCCAGTGGGAGAGCTTATTTCTTCTTCGAACGAAAATCTTCACTGGCAATGGACACAAACTTCTCTGTCTGACCTGGGCTTTCCTTAGACTAGTCAGTTTGATTTATATGCATATTAGACTCACATCAAATTATCTCATCTTTTGTTGATAAGAGTCAGGAGACCTAAGAACCCCCCCCCCCTCCCCTTTTCAAGCCCCACCCTACCTGTTGACAACAGATGATTTGTGTAAAAAAGAAAGCAGTGTTGGATCACGCTGCTATTTTGTTATCCACATAAATCTGAAGCTCGCTGTACCAACTGAGCAGGCCTTAGAGAATAATATCTTAGCCCGCTGAGGTTCAGAATGTTTGAGTTTACTCCGCAAGCAGGGATGACCCACCTTAACAGGCGTTGGGTGACCGAATGTATGTCTGTTCAAACAAGTCTTCTTTTGATCCAATAGTTATTTCTCACATTGGCTTAAACTGATTTGAGCATTTCATATAAATAATGCCTGACCATTCATTTATTGCCTACAAGTATGGATATTAAGGCATCAGGAGTATGGCAAAGTTTAAACAATAATGCATAGGCAGCGTGAAAGGCTCAATGCAGCCGCAAAGTTGAAAAATGAACAAGGCTATTCAGCTTGCTCACGTCAGAATAATGCATTTCCTTTCGACTTCTGAAGGTAAAAAAGAACACAGAAACCAACAAGTAAATGTCAAAGAAAGCGTAGAGCCTCTAAACTCACAAAGTTTGCCAAACTTAACAAACGGGCACAAAGAAATAATTTATTACTGTCAGGATAGCACACCAACCCAAGAAGTCCTGATCAGAAAACCAAACATTACGAGAGACCCGCTAACAAAGCTAAAAGAACAATTAATGATGTCATGACACTCCGTATGCTGTAGGCCTACCATTGTCAAGTGAAAATATCAATTTGGAGATTGGTCACTCGAGAGTGTCCCTGAGCAAGACAAGCATCGCTAAAAACAGGACACTGCACACCGGTGACCACCAATAATGTACATATTTGTATTGACTTGGTTGGAGTTTCTTTCGTAAAAGAATGGGACGCCCGTGTCATTTATACATTGTCGAACACGTTGCTATTAAAGACGACCCCCACCACCACGAAAAGGACAAACACTTGTAATTCCTTTCGTTTTGTTCTTCTAAAAGAGAGTGTGGTGGGGGTGGGGGAGGGGGAGCTTTCTCACCTTGACATGTGTTAGTGCTTGGATTTGGAATGTATCCTCTGCGGCATGGATGCGGAGTACTGGGGCACTGTTCACAAGGCCTGCCCCAGGCGGCACCGATGGTGGAACAACAGAGAGTCTTGGTGCACACCACACCTGTCAGCTGGCCCCTACAGATGTCTTCACTCACCTGTGTGAAGCATGGCCCGGTTCGGAAGTCTAGGAAAATAATTATTTAAAAGATCGATAAAGACTCACAGTAAGAGATCTGTTACTTTTGTTTCTTCTTGTTTTGATTTGAACTGTAAAAATAATTTCAAAAGTACTCATCGTGATTTCATATACTTAAAATATTTAAGGTAGAATTTAAACGGGACCCCATAATTCTATAAGGGTCCGACAATTGAATTTATCAAAACTTGAAGTTTTAATTTACTTCAACACTCCTAATCTACTGCCAGATTTGTCTGTCTATGTGTCTATCAACGAAAGTTCCTGTCTTTCTGTCCACGTTTCTGTTTGCTGGTTTTTCTTTTCTGTCTTGTCTGCCTGTCTGTCTCTCGCTAAGTGAGTCTCATAATCTGGATGCTTTTTCCTCATAAGGATGATAATAGGTTCCTATTCTTCCTGTCTGACTACACCAACACAGACACTTAGGTTCAAGAAATTGGTATCTTTGTCCCATAGTACTCACAGTCAACTGGACTTGGGTCAAAATGTCCGACTTTAAACAATCTGAACGATCAGAACACCTTACAAGCCACAACAGCTGTCTCTATTAATTTGTGCTAATACAGAAAGTCAAAGAATTTATACCGAATAACCCAGACTTAAACAAAATTTACTTCTTTTTAAATAAAATTAGAATGTCACACCGGATTACCTTGTTTTGAGCACCATCTTACCTTGCTCACAGTTTTGCCCAGTGTAACCATACGGGCACGCACACCTGTTTCTTCCTATACATCTTCCTCCGTTGAGACATCCACCTCGACACTGTTCTGTAGGAGGAAAAAACAAGAATCAGCAATCACCTACTTTGAAACCAGGAAACCGGCGAATGTACATGTTTAAAGCTTAGGCTCTTCAGAGAGTACGCACATGACGTGAGTTCGATTCCCTCATGAGGAATATTACATAGTTGATCGAGTGTGGTATTTCAACAAGGATGTATTTTCCATACTACTTAGGTCGAAGCTCCCTGTCTCCTTATTGAAGTGAAGTGTGTCGAAGGCAGCATTTAAAAAAATCACTGCCCAAGTATATTATTGCTAAACGTCTAGAGAATCTAAGGCTAAGCTAAAACAAAACACAGCCATCACATAACTTCAGAAAGATTACGAAAAACAACGATACATGCACAGACATTTCTGCCTATTTTTCTCTTTTTCTTTTCTTTGATGATCTATTCAACGGTGACATTATCAGTGTTTCAGCGCTATTCTGCAAAGTATTCTAAATAACTCAAAAGGAACGTGATACATACATACATACATACATACATACATACATACATACATACATACATACATACATACATACACACACACACACACACACACATACATACATAT